TCCTAACAGAATTCCTTTACAAAGCATTTGTCAAAACTCTAGCCAAGTGCAGTAATGCACACTTGTAATACAAGCAACTCAGGATGCTGAGGCAGGAGAATCATGAGTTCAAAGCCAGCCTCAGGAGATTAGTGAGACACTTAGCAACTCAGTGAGACCCTGTCTCTAAATAAAAACATTTCAAAAAGGGGCTGGGAATATGGCTCAGTGGTTGAAGCCCCCCGGGGTTCAATCCACAGTACCAAAACAAAACAAAACAAAAAAACTCTAGCAAAAAGGTTTAAAATGAATATAATCAAGCCTTCAGGCCTCATTCACAATTTAGAATAACTATAGAAGATACAAAATCAGTGAACAGTCCTAGATTGAAAACACAAATTGAAAGGACATTTTGGGGTCACTGAGGAAATCTGAATGGTCTAAATATTAGATGACCTAGAAGTTAATTTTCCTAGTTGTTATAATAGTACTATAATTATATATGCATACAAGTCCCCTATTTTTAAGACTTGCATGCTAACTTATTCAGGGACAAAGTGTCACTATGTTGAAGTCTTATGTTTCAATGGATCAGAAAAAAATACAGATACAACTAAAGAGAAGACTAAAATATGGGTGATCACTATAGTATGTTTTTAAAACTTTTCTGTACATTTATATCATTTTGTAAACTCAGAAAAATAAATAAAACTTACTTTAAAATAACAAATATATTTCTTTTTTTTTTTTTTTTTTACAAGGGCTCAAAGGAAGCAGGAACTGAAGTAGACATAGGAACTGCAAAGGAAAGTTTCTACAGAGAAAAAGAATAGGAATCAGCACTAGAGTAAATTAAGATTACAACATTGTAAAGCTGGAAAATGGAGGATTTTGTCATTGGTTTCAACTTTGAGGGCAGCAATTAAATTATATTGATATTTCCGACCTTAACTTTCACCTCTTGTTTAACTTTCAAAATTCTCTTTTGTACTTTACAAAACTCTCTACTTTTGTAGATTGTCATGTATGGGAAGAAATATTTGAGTCATTAGTCTTCAGGATCAAATATGGTCCATGTTGCCCCCAAGTCTAAGTCTAAATCTATATTAATTGCTGGCTTAATAATTTTTCTGTAAGTACATAATGGTCAGTTGTGGAACAAGCACTGGAATGTCTACTGCTGATTTCTGTCATCATAAGAATGGCACTGATTATAGAATACCATCAGTCACCTGGCCATCAGCTTTTGTTACCACTAGGAAAAATAAATCAACTAAAAAAGGTCAATTTGCTCAGGCCATGTAAACACTGTTACCACTTTCATGGAACTGCATCATTATAATTAGACAGGAAATACAGATGTACTGGCTATAATCACAGAGGTGTTTCATTATATATTTCTTCCTAAATTGAAATGGTAAGGATACAATACATGGCTAAGCCATTACCTATAGGTCGACTGTGGCTTCAAGCTCATTTCAGAAATACTTTTTACACTTAAAACTGATTCAGAGTGGGTGCAGAGACAGGAAAGTCTAATTTTACCTTCTAAATATGGTCTAACAGTATGTCTACGAGGAAACAGAAAAACAGACAATGAATTTTTATCTTATTTTCCCCTACCCATTAGAAAAAGAGTGAGTCATCTAATTTTCCTTACTAGTTTGGCAAGTTCTGTCTGATTTCCATGTCTGTTTCTTCATTTGTGAAACAGAAATAACATACCTGCTTTGTCTACCTTAAAGGGCTGAGATAAGGTGAATTGAATACAGTGGAGACTTTCTTCAAATAAAGGAAATAACTTTAAAACCATTATCTGCTTAGTTATGAATATGAAGAAAGGACCTACAGAATGGGAGAAACTCTTTGTTGGCTACTCTTCTGATAGAGAATTAATATTCAGAATATTAAAGAATTCAAAAAACTTAACACTGGAAAAACAAATAATCCAATTGATAAATGGACTAGTGAACTAAATAGACACTTTTCAAAAGAAAAAATACTAATGACAACAAATACATGAAAAAAATGTTCAACATCTTTAGCAATTAGGGAAATGCATATGAAAACTACACTGAGATTTTATTTCACTCCAGTTAAAATGTCAGCTGGAGTGGATGTGGGGAAAAGGAACACTTTTACACTGTTAGCAGGAATGTAACTAGTACAACCACCATGGAAATCAGTACGAAAATTCGTCAAAAGACTAGGAATGGAACCACCATATATCCCAGCTAGTAACCACTCAAGATTTATCCTGAGAAACCAAAGTCAGCATATTATAGTAATACCTGCATACCTAATTCACAATAGCCAAACTACGGAACCAGCCTAGGTCCTTCAATAAATGAATGGATAAAGAAAATGTGGAACATTATACATAATGGAGTTTTCAGTCATAAAGAAGAATGAAACTGTGTCATTTTCAGCAAAGATAGATAGAATAAGCCAAACTCAGAAAATCAAGGATCCTATGTTTTTATATGTGGAAAGTAGAGAGGATAAAGGAAAAGAAAGGTAGGGAGGGGAGAATCTCAAGAAAAGTAGAGGAGGACCACAGGAAAGAGACCAGAGGGAGGGAGGAACAGAGAGGAAATACTGGAGAATTATATTGACCAAATTATATTGTTATATCATGTGTATGTACAAATACGTAACAATGAATCCCACTATTACATGTAATTAAAATGCATCAATAAAAAATATGAAAAAATATTTGTTTAGATTAAATCTTAATTTGGTTTATGACTATTTATACTCTACAGTACAACAAGTAAGAAAAAAATTGGTAAGACTGCATTTTTACTATCTAGTTATCTAGTACAAATCAAGTTAGACATAATTACATATGGCAGAACTCTTCCAAAAATATTTAACCTGAATCTAGTGAAACAATTAGTCACATACATTACAAGAGAAAAATTGGCCTGAACTTTTAAAAAATGGTAATGTCATGAAAGATCAAAACAAACAAAGGCAGGACATGAAGAGCATATTTTTTGATAAAAGGAAATAAAGTACTTGGTGATCAGAGGTTCTAGTTCAAACAAAAAAAAGTTACAAAGAATATTTTGGGGACAACTGGGGCAATTTGTTCTGCATATTAGATAATTTTGTATCAACAATAAATTTCTTTAGAATGATAATATATGGTTCTGAAGAAAAATGTGCTTTAGGAGAAATATGTCAAAATATTCAGGGGAGACATGTTATACTGTGTACCCTGATTTTCAAATGATTCAGAATAAAATTAACTAGAGAGAAAGCATGTAACAAAAATATTAACAACAGCTGAAGAATCTGGGTGAAGGATATATAGCTATTCACTATTTTGTTTTAATTTCCAAAAGACTAAGATATAGAAAAGCGAGATTAAAGAGAAACACTATGTGAACAAACCAAAATAAAATAAAAGGTGGCAAGTAATGAAAAAAATCAATTTTTCATTACTAAAATCACATTTCTATAAACCTAATTTTTCTAAATAAATTCACTGTAATAAAATTGATTAATTACTTATTTATGTTATTCAGGAAGAACACTAATACTTCTAATAAACAAAAGTTACATTAGATGGTACCACAATATTATAAAAAGTTGGTGGTGCATGCCTGTAATCTCAGCGACATGAAAGGCCTCTGAGGTGGGAGGATTGCAAGTTCTCAAGGTCAGCCTCAGCAACTTAGGGAGGCCCTAAGTAACTTATTGAGAAGTGAAACCCTGTCTCAAAATTAAAAATAATAATAATAAAATAAAAAATTATAAACCACTGGGGATGTAGTTCAGTGATAAAGCACTTCTGGGTTTAATACCTAGTACCTCAAACAACAATAACAAAAAACCCACTATAAAACTTCTTCTTTTTTTTTTTTTTAAAGTCTTACTAAAGGATTTCCTTTAGGAGAGAAAAAAAAAAAAAGCAGTATAATTTCTAAAAGCAGGATGGACAGCGAGACAAAAACTCCATTACTGGAAAAGGTTATGGAATTAAACAAGTCCATATAGATCAGAAGACTGTGCTGACATGTTTTCAGGAATACACTATTCTATAAAAGGACATATGATTTTACATTTTTCTTTAAAAGTTTAAAGTAGAACATGTATAGTAACAGATGTGATAGTTCATATTTTATCATGTACTCACTTCAGTTAAATCACTCAAAAGGCAAGTAAAATAAAACTAGAAACAAGTGCTACCCAACAGGCAGAAAATACAGTATTTTACTCTAGAAATACCATTAAAGTGTTCTAGAGTAGGAATACTATAAAAGAGAAGAAAGAGACTATCTCATAGATACTAGAATTGAAAACATGAAACTAAATTTAAGATAGTGAGAAAAAACAAACTAAGTCTGCTTTATTTGGAAAGTTTTCCTACATAATTTTACTTGAAAAAATTATAACTAAATTTCAATAGTTTTTTGTTTTGTTTTGTTTTGGTACTGGGAATTGAATCAGGGACACTCGACCACTGAGCCACATCCCCAGCCCTATTTTGTATTTTATTTAGAGACAGGGTCTCACTGAGTTGCTTAGTGCTTTGCTTTTGCTAAAGTTAGATTTCCCTGTGCTGACAGAAGATTGGACAACTGCCCAACGATTCCAAAAGAAATCAGAAAAGATATACTCAGGAATATCTTTTTATGGGTTGATTTGAATATTAACTACAAAGAGCATCACTGTAACATGAGCTAACATTTTATGTTTACATAATCTCTTAGTTAAATAAATTCATGAAAAATGTAAATATCTTGTTAATGTGGAGTTACATTCTTTAACTTAAAACTTATTTACCAGTATTGGTTTCTCTTACTGTGTTCTTAGAAAATATACAGCATTTCCTTTAATGAATAAGTTCTATAAAGCAAAGAAATAAGAACAGAGTAAATATTAAATTATCTTTATGAACTAATCTGTTTTTAGCAATCCTTTCTTTGTAGGATGACAACAATGTGAATGAAGTATATAAACAAGAACAAACTTCATAAAACATTTTATTTTCAAAATAGCATTTCCTTTACCTTATGAATGGGCACTACCAAGGTTGGTTCCATTTTAGCTTCAATTTCTTCCGGACTATAAAAACAATACAGTTTACCTCCTCTCAAAACACAATACAACCTTCTCCAACTAATCAGACCTTCCACCATTTGCTGGAAAAAGAAAAAAAATCAAGAAACAATCAACTATAGATCATTATCACCTTCCTTCTAAATTCAATACAACACCTAAATAATTAAACTTATATTCACTTTTTAGACCTTTTAAAATGTGATGAAATAACCTTCTAATTTGCTTTACAATAAGTTCAACTGCCCCAAATCTGAAAGAAAGTTAATATCAGAGAAGAAATGTCTGGAATTCTGAAAAGCATTAAAGCAAAATGAAAGTAATTATTACCATATAACTTTTACACACATAAAATCATAAATCAATGTTTTAGGAAAGCTAGTCTATTAAAAATTAGTGCTTAGAATCTCACAGCAATTCATCAAATGACTCAGGAAAATTATAAAAATAACTCTCAATGTTGAAAATATAATTTTCCCTTACTGTTCTCAGAACATTAGAAAATGTTGACTACCTGGTAAGAATGCAAATTTTCTTTCCCCCTAATGGAATCTTTTAGAAAAAGCTATTGATTCATTGAAGCCCACAATTAATTATTTACTGAATATAAATAACTATGGCTATAAATAAATCAGGAGTAGGTGGCAAAGAGGCAGCTTTGGAAGCCCAGAGGCCTAAACTGTGCCAGAAGCTGTTTGCCAGAAGGGCCTTTTTGTGAGCGATGTTGCACAGCCATCATCAGTTTCCACAAGGAGTCCTCTGTTGCCGATTACCTGCTAACTTACTGCAGGGTCATGGAGCAGAGGAGCAGGGAGGAGTAGCTCCAAAGCCATCAAAACAGCATCAGACCCCTGCCCTTGCCATCCTTCTCACCCCAGCACTTCCCACAGTCTATGTTTAACAACATTTAGAAAACAAACATTTAAAAAAAGACTTCTCAATATTAGTAGGTCAAACAGCTGTCTGTATATTAAGATTTCAACTAAAGCTACAATTGTTGTAGGATATTTAAAGTCCTCTAACCTGCTGATTAAGAAATCCTGCACATGCATCCTCAGCCATACAAGCTGGCTGGGCAACTAATCGGCAGCACATGTTGCCATATAAGGGAAGCCAAAATGAAGACTCCTCTATTCAAAGGAGAAAGAAAAAAAAACTCAAGTTATAAATATATGCTTATTTGAGGTCATTACACATTTTGGTATTTCTTTTTATAGGTTTTTCATTATACATTAACATATTTTTAAATTAGTTTTATATAAAGGTTTTTACCTACTCATGTACCAGTATTATATTTAATGACGATCAAATATAAGCAAGTAGAGAGGATACGATAATATTAAACTGATAGTTTAGAGTATGTGATCACCTGGAATAATCATGGATCTTTTAGCCTCTTAATTTTATTTGATCTTAAAAGTAATTATTCAATAGGGATTATTCAGAGACTAGAAGTAATCTCTTTTAATATAAAAACATTCTAATGATTTGTTGGTCAAATTCTACTTACTGCTCATTACGATAACTAGCAAGAGGATCCTCTGAATGAAACATTATTTCAGCCAATAACTTTCTTCCATTTTCCCTTATTGAACAATTAAGTCATAATCCATTAGGTACAGCCCCCCAAGATCATCTGTGCAGGGATTGAGGAAGGAGCTATGCTGTCCTTGAGCTGGGTATGGGAGCCAGACAGAATGAGGATAAGCAGGAGGGCTGCCAGCATGAGGCAACAGAACTTGAATGGGCTGAAAGGATGTTCACATCCAGGCACAGCCTACACTGGGGAATCTGTCTGGAGTAGGGAGAGTGAGGAGGGCAGATTAGAGCCATAAGGGGTGGTGTGATGCAGGGAGTAAGAGCCTCAGCAGAGTGAGGAGGGCCTCCTTATGGAGTGACCGGTTGATGTGAAGTGTCAGAACACAAGCAGAATAACAGTGACCACTTCTGGTGGGCATCCCACTCACGGGAATCAGAGACTGAGAGCAGTGAAGGAGCCATCCACACATGGTGTGAATAGGCATAGTGTTGTCAGCACCCTACCTCCAAGAAGAAGGGCGACCAGTGTTCCTTAAGAACAAGGCTGACTCCAGGGATGGGCCAGGGGAAATACATGACAAGCTGGAGTATTTAGGTATGTCACTGAGCAGGAAAGTGCTCAAAGAAAGATATCAAAAAGATGAGCACCATACTAAATATGGGCTCCCACTGGCCCAATCTGGAACAATTTGACCCTTAAAAAAAACAGTGACATCAATGGGTTATGGTACATTGGGTAAAACAGAAAAAACATGAATCCAAAAAGTAGAAGTCTTATAAGAAATGTATACTTACGTAGTTTCAAAGCACCTACTCCCACCACAAAATATGTATTAATTTGAAAGAAGAGAGCAAAAGAGTAACTTTACAGTAGACAAACTTAACAGATGCCACTTTAACCAAGTGTACTGGGATGAATCAAAATTACATGCCACTTGATAGGATACAATAAGAGCAAAACATCATTGTCAAAGATACATATTCTGAATCTTAATCCATATAAACCTAAAATGAGAAACTTTTACAAAATAACCAACTATAATACTGAAAAATATCGAAGTCATAAAAGTCAGTAAAAGACTTAGGAAGTGGTCCAGACTGAAAGAAACTAAAGAAGTATGATAATTAAATTTAATGTGTAATTCTGCACTGTTTTTTTTTTTTTTTAAGTATAAAGAACACTATTGAAACAACAAGCAAAACTTGAATAATTAGATGGTAGTAATGTTTTAGTTTTCTGAGTTGGTAGTTGCGGTGACATAGTGGAATGACATGATAGTTGTTAACCTATTAACATTCTCAGGGGTAACTTAGCATCATGTAAGCAATTTGCTATAGTGTATTTTAGTGTGTAAGCAAGTATATATCCTTTGTATAGAAGGAAAGTACTGAGTAATTTTTTCTGTGCATCAGATACAAATAAAAATCCAACTGTTAGTGGACTACCCATGGCTCTTAGTGCACACTGATCCACACATAAATGACTTTTGAAGTTTTCACTGCACTCTTATGGGCAGTACCTATAAAATGGCTACCATAAGCTATAATTATTATTTACATAAAAAGTCTTAGTAACTCTGAAAAAAATTGGTTTTGGTAAATATAGAATTATTTAATACATAAATGCAGGGTAGCCAAGGTGTTTTATTTGGTTAAAGGAAAAAGAACAGCCATAACACAGAACAAAAAGTAAAACAAAAAAAGTTTTCAATAACTTACCTACCCAACATTCTACTATGGAATAGCACACAATAAATTTTCTGGGACTATTCAAATCTTTTTTAATTAATACCTTGTTAAAGCTGCTAACTTTTAGAAATAAAGGGCTTGACCTGGGAGAAATAAATGTATAAACATAATACATAGATGATTCAAACATGCAGACACAAATAAATAAATGAGTCACAATTTCTTAATATAGGCAGGAAATGCAATAAGAATTCCATAAAGGCATGTATCTGAGTAGTAATATCAGAAAATTTTTATATAGGGAATCACAGATTTATGAATGAATTATGCTCTAAATACTTATAAGCCAGTTGTTTTTAAGTTAGAATATACTTCCTAAAGAAACAGAATAACAAATGATCTGATTTTCAGACCAGAATGTAAACTTAGTGCAATCAATAATATAAATAGAACCAAATACCACATGTAATAATGTGTTTCTCTGTAAATAAGTTGATATTTTATGTGATGTAAAGGAAAATAATTCCTTCCTGCCTGCATTTCCTGAAAAGTGAATATAGAATTCCTTGCTCCACAGCCTGCTTGCCCAAACTCTGCAATCACCTATTACTTCTAATCTGGGTTTCTCAGTGTTGGGGACCCCTGTGGAAGACAGTATAGAGCCACAGTTCTTCCATACTTCTGACAAGAAATATGGCATCTAAGGCTAGCTATTTATATGTCTAAGTATTAATTTCTCATTAAAAAAATACCACTTACCTTAAGTAGGGGGTTTGATATGAAAATAAGATAATGCATACATGACATCTATTATATGCCTGGCACATAATAGATGCTTTTCCTAATTTCATAACTAGGGCAATCTCACTGCCAAACCACATCCACAGCTAAAGGAGCCTGAAGCAGAGTAAATAAAATAAGCTTTACTCTTAATTATATCACAGTGAAACTTCGGATAAACAGAGGCAAAGAGATTAATAAATGAAACAATACTTTCACAGAGGTAAAAAATAATTCTCAATAATCAATAAAAGAAACCAAAAATAAAGTGGAGTTTGGCTTGATTTCAAACCTAAATATGAGACAGGTCTTTAAAGTTCAGCTAAAAAAGTAGTGAAGTCATCAACTTCAAGTCAAAGATAAGGACTCAGACAACCTCTCACTAAATCTTAAAAGCAAATCTCAGCATAAAGAAAGAAAAACACTTCCTATTTGGGAAAGGGAAAGATACATTTAAAAGAACCTAGAGAATCACTCATGCCCATATTACTTAAGCCAACATCCAAATCAGAACATTAAAATTAGAAATAATCAATGTCACCACATATATATAGACATACTATATGTAGTAAATAAAAATATATAATGTACTCACCATTTCCATTAATAGATAGATTGTGAGTCTTGAAGCTATCATCAGCACTTTCCAAGGTTAGGGTGGTATGAGCTAGCAAATTATACTTTGCACCACTAGTGGTGAGAAAGAAGACATATTATAAGTAATTTTATGTTCTCTATTATGTAATATACTTATAAATTAACAAAATAACAACCTGATTTAAAAAATGGGCAAAGGACTTAAACAGACATTTCTCCAAAGATGAAAACACCAAAAAGCCATATTCAACATCAACAGTTCTTTGAATACAAATCAAACCACAATAAGACATCACATCATACCCGTTATGATGGCAATTAGTAAACACAACAACAGATGCAGAAAGTAAGGAATGTTGGCTAGGATGCAGAGAAACTGGAACCTTTGCACATTACTGACTCTGACTCTCCCTGTTTCCTCATTCTCCATTTTATAATGCCTGGTCACCTCTACACAAATTAAAGTGGGGCACAATTCTTGCTGAATTCTTTCTCTCAATTGCAATAGCATATCCTGATTAAAATCTGTACTTACCCCTTTAACTAATGCCCAGCTTTGTTTTATCTTTTACAAAATGAATCTCCTTCTAGTTCAAACATGACTTCAAAGATTTGGAATTCCTATCTATAGTATGGGAGAATGGATGACTTTATTACTAATTCCATTTTTAGCACTATAGCCACTTCTATGCTACTTAAGCTAAAAGAGCATTCTTGCCAAAACATCTAGGAATTTTGGTGACAAATTTCATATCCTGGCATTTTGTGGTGATAAGAAGATAATTTTTTTTGAATAACAACTTTATTTTCTGTACTAATTTAAATTCATTTGTGACTTTTCTTGGTTTTTATTGACTAAAACAGTAAAATACCCAAACATGAAAGAGTATATTAAAAGAGAAGAGAAACAAAGAAAAAAATGTGAATAAACTTTAAGAGACTGATGTCTGATGGGAATTTTAATTGTGCCAGGTGATACATTTCATAAACCTCCTTTGTCTCTTACTAAATCTTTAATGAAATCTTTATAACAAAATAAGCATAAAATTAATAGCCACACAATGTATGCATGTATTTTTTTTTAAATAAACAAAGACCCAGCCCATAGAATGTTCCCCACCGGGAGAATGTCTCTTGGTTTTTCATGTACAATCATTATTAAGACTAGAAATATCTCTCAATACACAATGTTTTAGGTAAAAATTTATATAGGAAAATTTATGTTTCTGTCTCCAAATCTCAACTTGACATTTTAAACAAAACAATGCATGAGTAAATTTCAAGTCACATTTAACAATCAGTATAATGTCAGACTTACATTGTAGACTCCTGGAAAAGTTCACTAAGTATCAACAAATCTCCACTACTGCTAGAACTAAGAGAGGTATTAGTCTCACACTTAATGTGGGCCACTTTGAATGCTCTACAGAGCTATTCAAAAATAGCTTTTATTTTTGTCTACTATCTATACAATGAGTCTATCAAAGTTGAGGAATTATTAGATGAAACTGTGGAGAAAGAATTAGTGTAATTAAGACCAGCAATTACAATGGAAGAGCTATTATATAAAAACCTGTCTATTAATAATCACATGAGTTTTATGGATTTTATTCTGTGTGAGATATAAACCAAATGGTGAGTTTTGATCAGAAGAATGTGTTATAGTCTGCTTTGTACCATAATTAAATGATTACTCTGACTTTTCTGTTGAGAACAGACTACAGGGGCCAAAAGTGAAAACAAAGACTTCAACTAGAAAGCTCTTCCAACTGGCCAGGCAAGGCTAGAATTGGATGGTAGTGATACAGTGGTAGGAAGTGGTAATGTTCTTGATAAATTCTCAATGTTGACTCAATGGGAACATTAATTGTGGAAGAAAGGAAAAGAATCAAGAACATTTCTGAGTCTAAGTCCAAACAATTAGAAAAGTGGAACTGTTGTTGTTATGGTTTGGATCTGGAATGTCCCTTAAAGGCTCATGTATTGAAGACTTAGTACCCAATGCAGCAATATTTGGAGGTGGGCTTGTGTGAAGTGACTGGATCATGAGGGTTCTAACTACATCAATGGATTATCCAATTGATGGGTCACCTGTGAATGGACTACTGGGAGGTGGTAGAAACCGTAGGAGGTAGGGCCTAGTTAGAGCAGTAGGCTACTGGTGGTTGTGACCTAGAAAGGTCTATCTTGTCCCTGGCTACTTTTTCTCTTTCTTTCTGCTTCCTAGCCACCATGAAGTGGAGCAGCTTTTCATTGCCATACCTTCTACGATGTTCTGCCTCACCACAATCCACCATCAATTGAATCCTCTAAAACTGCGAGCCAAAATAAACTTTTCTGCCTTACAGACACATTTCTTAGGCATTTTGTCACAGGATGGAAGGCTAAAACAGTTATTTACTAGAATGAGGAAGAAAGAGAGGAACAGATATGGAAAGTAAGAATTTAATTTTGGACAAGCAAGTTTAATTGCTTCAAATATCTAGATTTATTATTGGGTAAACAGTTAGGGTACAGCCTGGTGACAGTGGAGGAAAAAGTATTGGATATATAAATTTGGGAATTACCAGTATGTAGATGAAATTTAATCAAAGTTATAGAGTCCTGTGAAGTCCAATGGCCAAATACTCCATCATCTCAGATTAAGCCGAAAAGCAAGAGGCGAGAGGAAAGGAACAGTCACCGTGGTAGAAGAAAAAAAACAAGAAATCAGTATCCTAGAAGGCGAAGAAAAAACTATTTTATGGAGAATGATTAATTTTGTTATTAGTCTGAAGGTCCAGGAAGAAGAACACCAATAATTGATCATCAGATGTGGTCACATACAGATAACTGTTGACCTTGACAAGAGTAGCAATTTCTGCAAGATAGGATGAAAGTATCACAATAGAAATCATTGAAACAGTCTGAAAGAGAATGGGAAGAGAGGAAGTGGAGATAGAAATATAAAAAGCTCTTTCCTATAAAGGACAGCTATGGAATGGGAGGTGTTTATGTGTGTGGGAATGATGCAATAGAAGAAAAGCTAATAATATAGGAGAAAGGGGAGCCAGCTCTGACTAAGGGAGAGGATGGAATCTAGTTCACAAGCAGATGGGCCTAGATACAAAGGCAGTTCACAAGGAAGGACAAAACAGACACAGATGCAGGTGGATGGAGGGAATTTGAGTTGTTTTCTGATTACTTCAGAAATATCCCTGATATATGAAACAAAGTCATCAGGTGTGAATGAGGCATAAAAAGGGGATATCTAAAGTTAGCAAAGACAGAAATTATGTGAAATAACGTAAAAAGAGGTAAAGTGGGAGATATGAAAACCTAGTAGAACTGTTCAGTCATATACTGAGAACCATCTATCTAGAGTGAACAAAGCAGAATGACTGTTTTTCTCCAGCTTCTTCATTTATACCTCATAAGTGTAGGTACACTGCAAAGATGCTAAGGAGAATGTAACCAAGGTTGAAGTCCTTCTAAGGTACGGTACGTATGACAAAAGGAAAGATATGCTGGGAAAGAATAAAATAGTAAATCTTGAAGTCTAAACTAAGCTGGAGCAAGAATACTGAATGAAAGAACCTGGAAGATGTGGTAAAGACTGAAAAACCTAGTATAAAGATTTTAGAGAGCATGTAATTATTAGTAATGACAAGACCAAGGAAACAATCATGGGATAGATGCTGAAAAGGACAGGACCAATGGAGGCAAGAAGGTCATGAAACTAAGAGATCAAGTTACTAAACAGGGTGTCTACAAGTATACAAAGAAATTTTAAGAGTGACACTGTAATTTATTCTCATTGATCACCAAAAACACTTGAGTAGTCTTCATTTTAAGAATAGTAATTTCAATACACAGTAGAATATAAAATATTGCTATTAGTGTGCACTGGAAGAAAACTTATAAACTGTGCATCTGAACTTGGAACACTGTAGAAGTGGCATGTTTAGGGAACAATTTGTGTGGCAGAATAGGCTAAAGTTATGTAATGACCAAATTACATGTTTAAATTGTTTCTCAGGCCTTAAGTGATGATTGTGACTGGGAATTTTCTTCCTCAACTACTTTAACATAAATATGCAAGACATTAACCTCTATTTCCCATGAATGCTACAGGTGAAAAGAACTATACAAAAAAGTTACTGACATCCTCCTAAGAATGGTAAAATTAAGATATAACCAACAAACAGATAATATGGCCATTAAAATGATTAAAGACTCTAGAATAACTTTGGAGAAAACAGTATAATTAGCAATGTCTAAATATCTCCCAAAGCTAGGCATTTAAAAACCTGGGAGGAAAATACCACCTCAAAATTTCAGAAGGTTTTAATTTAAGTGGTTGAATATAAGGAACATTTTTTCTCTTCTTGATTCTATTTCTCAAATTTATATCACTTTTCTAATTAAAATAACTAATGTGGTTAAATGATACTACAATTAAAACCATCCCTAAGAATCAATTACATGCAAAGTACTATAATACTACATCTACATATATTAAATTTAAGGCACTTTGACAACTAATATCTTTTTTAATATTCAAAACAATTACCTTGGGTAGGTAGGGCAGATATTTCAGCCTATATTTTCAAATGGAAAAAATGAAGTTCAGAGAATTTAACTAACTTGCCTGTAGCTAACAAGAAGGCCCTACTATACCATACTACTTTCATGCTTCATTAATCCTTTAAAAAACCTTTTCAATTAAAACAAATACAAGGGCTGTTAATGCGACTCAGTGGTATAGTACTTGTGTAGCATGCACAAGGCCCAGGGTGTGATGCCCAACACCACCAAAAACAAACAAACAAAAAACAAAACTAAACTAAATATATAGTACATAGTGACATTTTACTCCAAGAATTTTGAGTGTAAGGGCCTCGAGTTAACCTCTGAATACAATGTACCAACTGACATAATTGCAGAATAATCATTTCTAAATGATTAAACAATTATATGCAGAAGTAAATAAGTCTTTACTCATATTTAAAAACTGCATTATCTTTCACAACCTCAAATATTTAATAATCTTGCTCCTAAAACATAAATAATCTATATATCCAGACAAGGATTAGGATAATTGTTTTGTAACTCCTGTGTAATTTAAAATGTAATATTGTGCCTTATTTTTAAATATTTTAATACAACTTTTTGTACAGTAAAATATCACACTTGATTTTACCAGTTTTCACAAAATTATATTTTAAAAGGTATATGATTATTCAGGTGAGAATAATGTACTAAATAGTTAAAGGAACATGAAATAGATAATTTAGCTATTAGAGGAAATGGCAAAGTTGAATTAAAGGAATTTCAGTAAGCTAAATTCCATAAATAAAATGAATAAATGAATCACATCAGGGAGCATACTAAAAATTACCAAAAATGTTCACTGTCTTCTTTCAGATCCAACAATACTTTATGATGATATTTCAAGTTACTTCATTTTTAAACCATGACTAATTACAATGCCATTGCTTCCAAAACCAACAATGACTTCACTTTTAAAACATTCTTGTCAGGATAACATTTTCTTTCTAAAACATTACACTCATTCCTTTTAGCCAACCCTAATATTGAGTTCCCAAAAGTTTAATCAGCTACATTTTTAATTGAATGGGCCAACAATTATAACATGAGGGGGGTGATGTGAAAAACAACTATTTTAAACTGTAGTCTGAAATAATGCCCTTTTATCAAGAAAAATAGCTATATTTGGTCACATGTCATATTACCAGGAAAGATATACATTGTTTTATATGTGTTCATTTTGGTTTAAAATTAGAATCTACAGAAGTCTTCAGAGTGAACTAGATCACACCTCTAGAGCAAAAAAATTAATCATTTTATGCATTTTGATTACTAATGTTATTCTCAAAACTCCTGTCACGGTGCTAAAGTGGACAGTTAAGGAAGTATCAGGTAAAAATAGGGGAGGGGAGGGAAAGGGGGATAGGAAGGGCAGCAGAATAAAATAGACATTATTATTGCTGTATGTATATAGGTGACTGTATAACCAATGTGATTCTGCAACCTGTACAATCAGAAAAATTAGAAATTATACCCCATTTGATTCAAATGTATGAATTGTCAAGATCATTGTACTGCCATGTGTAGCTAATAAAAAAAAAGAACATTAAGATGTTGGCTTATGAAATAAAACGTTGGCTGACCAAGCTCTTTAAAAAAAAATAGTCCTTGTATAACCTAGTATACTCTGGATTCACCAGAAGAGAAGAGAATGCTGGTATTAGGAGCACATAATATGGTGAAGTGTTATACAAGGTATTATTGTATCTTTTGACCAACTATAATGGGACAAAATAAGCAAATGGCAAAGTTGCATGAGAAATGTTCATAAAGAAAATTAGTATTTGAATTCTGGGACAAACCAAGTAGAATGACAAATGTGACTAGCAGAGTGAACACTTATAGAAATACATGCCTATCCCTATGAAAAAGAATTTAAGACAAAATAATGTTATTCCTCCAACTACCTCTAGGCTTCAAAGAGAAATACAGGTTAAATATAGGTTCTAATATAATTTAGAATATACTTAGCTAAATATAGGTTCTAATATAATTTAGAAAATATTTAGCTAGGAAATTATTAACATGACTTTAAATTTTAAAAAAGTCTCTACATTTTATAATCCTATGTCAAGTTTCCAAATGGCAATGTTTCAGCACACATTTAAGAGAGGGCTTAGAAAACACTGGTTAAACAACAATAAAAATAGTAACAATAAATGGCAAGAGCTACATGTATTAAATGCTTATTTGATCATGTCCACAAATTATCTTTCTGAACCTCAACAATCCTATGGAGTGAGATGATATTGGTGTTATTATTATTATTCTCATTTTACAGAGGATTAAAAAAGCAGAGTATATTAATTTGCACTGGGTCAAGTAATAAATGATAAGTAATAAGTGACAGAATAAGAAATCGAGTATTCGCTGTCCAACAACAAAGTTTTTAATTGTTTGAAGACTCTATTTGTTATTTTGCATTCTTTGAAGGGAGTATTAACCCTGGGAATGTCCCTAAGAAACTTTTTAAAAGAGAAATGGCTCTATCTAAGCATCTTTAACTTTCATTTAAGCAAACTGAGACCCAGAGAGAAACATAATATGCCCAAGATATAGTATAGCTGAATAAGAGACACTACTGGTCCTGCTATTTCTTAAATAAGAAATTCTGCTGCTTAAACATTTTTTAGACTATTGAACTAAGTAATTATCTCTAAGGTCTCTTTCAGTTCTAAAACCTATGTTTCAACCTGAACATAGAATTATTTAATCATCATCAAAAAAAAAAAAAATAGTTCCATTACCTTTTGGTTGAGTTAAAGTACCTTCCAGCAAATCCTTGACACAATCTTAATGTAGAATAGTGTTTGAGATAGTCTTAGATCTCAAGGATGAAAATTAAAGGTCCTCTGACCCCTCTGAAATGACATTTTTATTGGAAAGACTCACATTTTCTTTGATTGTTTTTTTGACTGTTGAATGAGCCCTATTCATGAATAATAAAATCAACTTAATGATCCACAGATACCTTAAAAAACTAAAAAAACCCAAAAACAACTAAAATAGAACAGATACCTAATAATTATATTATAAATCATAAAGGTCAAGGATTGCCTTATGAAATCTGTTTACATAATTGCATTCAGTTAAGATATAAAATATATGTTAGCATAAGCCTCAATCAAAATTGATGGAAAGTCATTATGCTAGAGTGCCAACACACATTTCACATGTAATACATCTGACATGAGTTATTTAATTACATTTGGATGACTGATGCTTCCAGGATCTATACCTAAAGTACTTCATTTTTTGTTATTACAGTAAAACTACGGACATGCTGAAAAGTCGATTATATTAGACATGTAAAGAAATTCTAGAAATGCAGCCTAATCAATGGTTTCCCAATAAAACATAAATATAAAACTATTTGAGGAAAAAACCCAAACACAATGTTTGAAGAAGGTATCTGAAAGAAATCAATGCTCCATGGAGAAATGGTGATTCCAAGTCTGTATAGAAAAACACAAGACAAACAGTGAACATTCTATGATGGCAGGGAGAGAAGAAGCTATCAATGATTAGGTAGTATCAGAAGGATGCAGGAATCATCTTGAAGGTTTCCCACTGATCAAAGATGGAACAATTTGGGCATCAAAGAGAAGAAGAAGAACTATAACAGAATGAAACACAAAAGAATAGAAAGTCAGAGTTCAAATAAAACAACAGTATTTACTTCCATGGTTCCTAGGATATCAACTTATTTTAAAACTGGGTACATGTTAAGAATCAAGTAGTTTTCCCTCTAAGTTTTATTGTAGTTGTATCCAGAGAATTTATAAGGGAACAGTCAAGAATGCCAGTTTAGGAAAAAAGTACAGGACAAATTTAGGAAGTCACCTAATTATAATCCCTAATGAAGTAATGAGTTATCAGTAATAGCTGTAAAAAGCATTAGAAAAAAGACTGATAGGGAACTTTATAATGTATGGATCAGGGTGGCAACACCTGGACCCAAAAGTGGAACAAGGATTGGGAGACAGTAGGAAATATACCTAATGATATGAAGTATTATTACCCTAAAAGAATTTGAATCTAATCAGCGCTGGAGATCTAACTATGAGGTTATAGGAAATACACGGGCCAGAAAAAAATGTTTTAAAAAAAAGGTACAATCAGATAGATTCAAACCACAGAAAATCCTACAAGACCTGGTTTCTTCAAAAAATAATGACTAGAAAAAAAGAGAGAATTGCAATATTTATATTTTTAATGTAATATTATAGACCTGTTTGGATTCTTTGTTGTTGTTTTTTTTTTTTTTTTTGGTACTAGGGGCACTTAACTACTGAGCCACATCTCCAGTGTTTTTTCATTTTGAGACAGGGTCACATTAAGTTGCTGACTGTCTCCCTAAGCAGCTGAGGCTAGCTTTGAACCTGCAATCCTCCTTCTTAGGCCTCCCAAGCCACTGGAATTACAAGCATGCACCACCTCACCCAGAAACCTGTTTGGATTCTGATTTGAACAAACAAATCACAAGAGGGCATTTTAAGAATGGTACAATTTGAATATAGGCTAGATATTAGTTATATTAAAGATATTTTTTATTTCATTCCATGTAGTAGTGATAATGTAAGTTTATTAAAATGTGATAAAAAAAATTTAAGGTCTGTGAGAATAAATCAGGCTATACATACAGAAATCCAATTAGTAGACTTAAATGTAGCAAAAAAATGGACAGACACACAATCCCTTCTCAAGAAAAACATTTCATCTTTCTGGTAGATATTGGAATTCCAAACTATTAAAATACTGTGTCAATGACTTCCTACCTTCAAAGGAAAATACTACACTTAACTCAGCTGGGTAAATGTCAGACAACTAAGTTTTGTTTCTGCTTCAGGATGCTTTTCCATTCAAAACGTAAACACATACTCCATATATTATACTTTGAAATATCACAAATGTATATTATGTTACCATAAAAACTGTATTAGAAAACTTACACAGTAGTAGAATTGAAGAACAAACATGTTTCATGATTCTCTTCCTGAAGCACTGAATTTATTTTCTTTCCTGTAGCTTTACTTATAGATGTCTTAAGTTTCTTAGCTAGCTTTTTTGGTGTATTGGTTATGGAAGATTCTTCTGTACAGCAACTATACATTTCCACCTTTATCTGAAAGTCTGGTCCTGCTTCATTACTATAAACAAAGGCATTCATGTTAGAAATTTAATTCAGTAGAAAATAAAATTACAACGTCCTTTGATGTTTCCATAACATTCAAAAACAGCATTTACAATGTAATGAGACAGAATCTTCCTGTTTATTTAGTATCTAAATGGTCTAAGCATGTCACTACAACTTTCAGAGCTATCAGCTTCTAAAGTAAGACAAACTTAACTCAGTAAAACAAATGTATAAAGGCATATTACTTTAAAAGAATAAAATGCTATGGTCATTCTGTTCCACTGCTATTTGTCCTTTTCAGGCCTTTAATACCGCGTTTTTAAGGTATTTAAATTACATGTATAACTTCTTGATATGACTGTTCCCCAAAAACAAAATCTGCTGAACCTTTAGTTTCTTTCTTTTTAAAAAATTATGACTCCATTTATATAAAATGTCCAGAAGGCAAAATTATAAACACAGAAAGATCAGTGGTTGCCTTGGGAATAGAGGGTAATGGGGATTGACTACACACAGGTTTAAGGTAATGTTTGGGGTGATGGCAATATTCTAAAATTGAATTTGAACATTTAGTTTTCATTTCTTCTTCATAGTCACTTAGTCCCCTTACCACTGGGTATCCCATCCCCATTTCTGTAACCTAATAACTATAAACAACATTTCACTTTTTGGTTATATAGGAGAGAAAAATGTCACAAAGTTAACAGAAATGATAACACGTTCAGGCATGAATTCCTTGGGATGTGCTGTCTTGGTGATCTTTGTATTCTTAACCCAGCCTTGTGCCTGGAACTAGAAGGTGCTCAGTACACATTTATTAAACTCATATGAAGAAATTCTGCAATTTGAGCAAATACTAAGATTGGCTTTGCCTATTTTCAGACACAATGAACTACCTTTAGCATAAAATATTGTGGTGGTGTTACTAACAATAAAATAACTTAAGACTGCAAAAGAGGTCTGTCAGCAACAGATGTTGCCTGCAGACAGAAGGTCTATCGGTCTCAAAGATTTTAGAAATGCAACATGAACTTTTTAAATGGCCAATCTATAGTTTGGATAAATCCAAGAAACAACTTCCAGATATTTTTATAGTTTATTATTTGGCAGCTTCTAAACATACAGTATTCCTGGTAATGACTAACAAATGTCAATATTTAGAGGAAAACCAGAGCTTCATAAATATTGAATACTTATTAAAAACAATCATCATAACCAAAAGCACATTTTTAAACATTTAAAACATTTGTCAGCAGTTATTTTTAGAACAATTTTAAATATTTACAGAATTTTTAAAAAATTATAAATCATGTGTTTTCTTCCCAAGTAATTCATATTGTTCTTGAACCCTTGAAAAACAGTCTGAGTTTTGGCTTTGTGGTAAAAATAAACAATAGCAAAGTGATGTGAAGAAAAGAGTCCCATTAACAGGATAATTTTGTCAGAAAAAAATTTCTTAACAATAGTTGATAATGGAAATAAATATATTTAGATAACTAGGGAAAAAAATTAGCCTCAATTATCTAAGTATTAGGGGTTGTTTGGGAGGAGAGGGACCCTAAATAAATTCCTTTGGTTTAATACAGCTTATAAAAAGACCTGCGTTACTACTAATAACTCAGAACAATACATTTTATTTTTCTGCACTCTACAATTACTTCAGGACACTGGACCAGAAGCCACAAAATATGGTTTGCCGTAGTCTTTCTAATGTTAGATCTGAGTGGCAAAACTAGTCCTCTGAATTCTCAGCTGAAGCTCTACAGCTGAAAATGGCAGAAACCATGTATATTGATTTTATCTTAATAGTTCAGTAGATATTAACATTAATATATGAAGATAGAATCTTTGAAAGCCTAAAAGAAACACAAATCCCATACTAATTTAGGCCAATTTGAAAGACGGCAGGAAAAACTTATGTTGGTTAAAAATTATTTCTATAGCTACCTGATGTGTTCTTTCTGGTTCTGTATTATGACCACAATAAAAAGAGCCTGTAAAAGAGCAGGGGCAATAAAAACAGCCCTGAGGATCACCCATTTTTTTTTTTTTTATTGTTTGGGAGTATATGAAAGAAGCGCACCATAAGAAAAAGAACACCCCCAAATTTACCAAAGTGGTTTTTCTTATGATTCATATTTCAGGAATATCTTATAAATGAATCTGTTTTACTGTTTTTTGTATTTCTGTAATTAAATTTCTTATTGAGATAGAAGAGTCTGTTTTATGTTCAAATTCACTCTATATCAAACAATACTAAGTGAAATTCCATTCTAGTCATAGTTTAGTCAATAATGGAAATATATTTACTATAAAATGTTTTAAAATTTATCATATCCAATGAGTCAAATATTCACTGCTAATATTCATTATAAGATTTCCATTTTATTTTACATCATAAATTTGCATATGAAAAAATGGCCTCATTTTGAATAAAGTAAGACTACAATGACCCAATAAATAGACCTTCATCCAAAGGCTCCCAAACTAAAATTCTTTAAGAAAACAAACAAACAAACAAACCCAGAAAGAAAAAATCTTCATAGATACTTTCATTCTTTGAAGATTAAAGATACTTACAATATTGTTACATTTTCAAAACATATATCTGTGATTGTTTTATCCACAATCACCATGTCAGTATCAAAAACTTCAGCTCCCATTTTGAATAAACAAAAAATGGCATAGCGCTGTGATCCTATAGAAGACAACATTTTAAGCAGCAATACATACAAGAAATATTAACATTGTCTTAAAATCATCTTGAAAATGAAAAGTATCAGCTTAAATATTTGTTAATATATTCTAATTTTCATACATTGTATATTGTAACCTTTAACCTTTTTAATAGCTATTCTGTCAGTATACAGTAATACCTTACTCAACTAACAAACATCTTTAAACCAAAGAGTATTAAAAAATTAAGTTAAACATAAAGAACTCTAAAGGACTATCAGCAGGCTAAAGAAACAACCAAAATCATGAACTTTATTACCAGAAAACTCTTAACTCTTAATTAATAACGAATTTATTGTTATGTATACGCTATCACTTCTGTCATTTTGGTCTCCAAGTTTATTTAAGAAAAAAATGTTTTTTATTAGAAGAGGTTAAGAGTAGACACATTAACAACAGCAAAACATTCTCCACTAAACTAAAATCAAGGGAGGAAACCACAAAAAATAAATAAATTAATTAAAAGTAGACATGGGAACACAAAAGACATAGCTGCTGGGCCTTTTAATTTGGTGATGTTATAAAGTATTAGGTGATTAAAGGGCTAAATCCTCATTATTGAGAAACCAGCTCTTTAGAAAAACTTATTCTCTATAGAAATCAGATTTACTTAATTCCCACATGCATTCCTTTGAAAAATAAATTATATTTCCTAATTGAATAACAAACACTAAACTGATTTTAAATTCTTCATATAAAACTAATTATGCTCAATATGATTCAGTTTTTCAAGTATGAGGAACAAAGCCATCACAATAGACAAAAAGATAAAGGATTATCACATCTTTTCTCTTTGCCTCTAACAACAAGAAATCATTTGAGGTTAATTTCCATGACCTAAGCAATACGAAGATTTGTGAAGACCATATAAAGTCATAAAATGCTGAAGAAGAAAAAACATTAGATCAAGCTAAAAATCTTCCTTTATTACATCCTGTTAAATAATCTGAAGTAACAAAATAAAGCAGAAAAGATCTCCTGGATTCTAGTCAAAGAAATGTTGCCTTTACCTTTATTCTGTGAACATTTTTTTTTTTTTAGTTCCACATTTTCCTTCCTGTCTCACCACCCTGAACCCATTAGTTACTATACTTGCACAGGTTCTGATAAACAACTAAATATTACATTTGCTGTGCATCATATCTTAATTAGTAAAAAGGAACAACATATTTATATCAAAAATCAGAAAACAATTCAACAAGATTCTGGTTATTCTGTCAAATGACGTCAATTTATTTATACACTAAAGGTAACTTCTCAATTACAAATTAAAATCTTACATACGTTCTTTGCTGCTGAAGTGATCAGAGTCTTTCCACATTAGTGGTATTCGAACATCTACAAATAAGGTGGAAAATGACAAGTAATAATTCAGTAAGTTTTATTTATTACAGTGACCTGAACTTCTGAATTCTATGACAGATTCTGACCACTGAAATCAAAATGAAATGTATTATTTAACAGCAAATTTTCTAGTTACTTTTTATGATTTGTACATGGACTAATTATTTACACGCTTATTTATTTATTTTTGTGGTACTAGAAATTGAATTCAAGGGTGCCCTACCACTGAGCCATATTCCTAAACCTTTTTATTTTGAGATGGGGTCTTGCCTAGGCTGGCCCTGAACTTGCAATCCTACTGCTTTAGGCTCCACAGTCTCTGGAATTAGAAGTGTGTGCTATTATATGCCCAGCCGAGTTTGTACTCTTAAAAGCTATTTTATATGTGTGAAACTCTGAAGCATGTGAGGTGAAAATAGAAACCTTCTTATAAGAATAATTGTTCTGGCTCTACATATATGCCCTTTTCTTCCTCACTGATTTATGATGTTATATTTATTAGATATGCCATTCTGAACAAATGTTGCCGGGCTATCCACTTTATGGATTCAATTAAATCATTTATCAATTACTAAATGTCCTAAAATCAATACCATAATATTATAACTATTGTTCCTTTATATTCTACTTCAGAAATAGGTTTTTTTGGAAGCATTTTATGCTAATTTCATTATATGAATTTTCTTCCCAAGTGTTTCATTAGTACTATATTCTATTATCCATATTAACTTGGAAAACTAAAAACTTAATAACAGTTTGTCTTTACATACAGTAGTATATTTACTGTTACATTTTAACAAAGGTTATCATTATATATTTAATGGTTTTGTTTTTTGTTATTTTCATTGTAAAGTAGATCTTTTTTGCCATTATATTTTTTAGTCAGCTATTTCTGGTTTTGAGATAAATTGCCATTTTTTTATATTTATCTTAAATCCAGCCACTTTTTACTGAATTATTAATTCAAATAGTGTTTCAGTAAATTCCCTTAGGTTTTTTAGGTCTGCAATCCATTATCTTCAAATATTCAATTTGTCTATTCATTTTCAATAGTTTCATCTTTTATTATTTTAGCCAGAATTTCCAAAATGGTGTTAAATTATATTGACATAATAGACATTGTTATTTTCTTCTTGATTTTAATGGGAATGATTTTATTATTTTATAATTATTATTTAGCTAATGTCCTGTCAAAGAGCCCACTCTTGCTTGACCACAGTTGCTGACTCATTTCATTTCATAACTGTTCTTGTTCGCAGCTGTTCTTACTCTGTTTGGGTAGGATTAACTATTTACACTATCATGGAAAGAACATGGACCCTGACTTCCTTTGCTGTATACCCATAGCCTGTGGGTCAATCTCGCCCTTTCCCAGGCCTATCTATGTAAGCTCCTTAAGGTAGACATTTCTTATCGATTTCCTAGGTGGTCATGTACTGTTGAGACAACAAAAAATGTATAACACATTAACTATGTTTCCTAATTCAGCTCCACTGAAGGAAGTTCCTTCCAGATTCTTGCAATGGTTGACTCCATTTTAATTTAGAATATTCTTACCTTTGTTTTTCTTAAGTCTTCATAGAAATTTAGTTAATAAACCAAGAGAGTCAAATTAGGATAGTTAACTTAAAAGTATCAGATCCTTGAAGTCTATTAAAGATATTTTCTAAAGGAAAAATTGAGATACTAGAAAATTGATTTGGTTTAGTCATTGAACGAGTAGTTAGTAAAAAAGGTGAGACAATTACCACAGTGTTATTATTTGGTGCTCGGCAGAAAGAATCAGGATAAGCCTATTATTCTTTTTACATTTATAGAGATCTGGCCAGTGAGTGGTGAAGTGAAAATGGAAAATCCAGTTGTCTCCTGACTATGAAAGTAATCTCAGAAACATTATGAAACTTTGCTGCAAATTTATTTTGGGCAAAATAAAAGTCACATTTTCATGCCCATGGCAAGAGAAAATGGAATTACAAAGGTGAATTTGTTTTTTAGTTCATTGTTTTTATAAATATACATACAAGATGTAATTTAGTCTAGGTTAAGATAAAATTACCTATATATTCCATCTCTTGAGAGTTTTGGTTCTTTAATTTAATTTAAAATTATCTTTTGAAAGAAGGAACACATGCATAAATAAGTTCAGATATGTGAATGTCTGTAGTCATGAAGGTTTTGTTCTTTTATTTTAAATGCTTTAATTTAGTCTCCCTTCTAAATATATAGTTAATTCTAATATCATGAATTGCAGCAGTCTATGAAATGACAATAAATGTTGAATCTATCATGGAATTTGAATGTTCAATAGCAATTTAATATATCTCATTTTTATAGTGAATAGTGCCATATTAGAAGCGAAACAAGGATTATGATTTAAGTATTTATAGAAAATCCCCTTCAAACATCTATCATATTTATTAAGATTAAAATGTTTAAACTTAGAGTACTATTATATAATTGTAATGTTTGGCAGCTAAAGGATACAAGGAGATATAAAACATGTTTCATGTCAGTCTTACAATCTGAAAGATGACAACATGAATATAAATAACTATAAAACAAGCAACAGATTTCTCAATATAGTTTAATTCTCTTTTTGAAAATTTTTTTGCTTAGCTGCTGGAAATTTCTGATTTTAGCAAAAAATGTCCTAAATAAAGTGCAGGTCTTTTCTTCCTGGATGATAATGTCTGTTTAGCCATAAAGTGAGTGGTGAAGCTGGAAATGGAAAACAGTTCTTTAAGTGGCAGGGGCTGAAACGTAGCAGCAGACTCCCTAATACAATGCTTTTGGCCAAGGAAATAAACCAGTTATTTCTTAAGGACTGATAGAGGTCCTATTGTTTCCAAAATGTACTGATGAGATAATATTTGTAAAAGTGCATTTTCTTAACAGTATACACATGAGTCAGTCATGTATTCACTTAATCTGAGGCATCTCCATTGTCTTACAGTTTCCTTAACACTTGGAGAAACTGAGACTACACAGCATAAGTGCCATCTAGTGGTAAAAGGTCTCTTAACTGCATTTAACTCAAAGGAAACATTTCTAACAGGGGAGGGTTTGTAGTTGAACAAATATGTTGAAGAAAATTTAATTATTTCACAAGTCAATTAGGTGTCTGCCACGTAGTGTGTGTCAAAAACAGGAGAAATGTCTGCTTAAAGCAAATGGCTTCTGTATAGGAGTAATGGAAGATGTGGCTAAGAAAAAGAAGTGGGTCAGAAAGGAAAACAGGGAAAAGTTTGGTCTTCATCCTACAGGCAACAAGAGTCATCCATTCAATGAATTTCACTGAGCAATTTCTATGCACCAAGCACTATACCAGTTAACTTATGAGTATAAAATGATAAACAAAATAAACAGTTCCAACCCCATGAAACTCTTGGTTTAGACAATCATTAAAACAGAAAAGGAATGGTATCAATCAATTTGAGTTTGCAGCCCAGCTCTGCCACTTACAGCAAGTCACTTAACCTCTGAATCTATAGAAAATGAGAATAATTATCCTACCTATTTTACAAGGCTGCCCCAAGGAGAAAAGTGTACAATATATGTAATATATGAGACTTTTTTGAGGCGGAGAGTGTCTTTCATTCTTTCTTCTTCTTCTTTTATGTGTGTGTGTGTGTGTGTGTGTGTGTGTGTATACATGCGCACTGTTAGGATGGAAGCCAGGGCTTCCTTGCACATGTCAGGCAAGTACTGTACCTCTCAATTACATCCCCAGACCAGCTCCTGAAACATTTTTTTTTTCCCACACAGTAAAGTTCTATTCAAATGTAGAGCATAATGATTAAAATAGATTTATATCAAATATTCAGATACATGTATGAAAAGTAAAATGAAGAGACTGGAAATCGAGAATAAAAACTCATCAACTCTAGTTATTTAATACAATGTATTCAGCAATATAAATATAGCATACCTGATATGGCAACCTTTCCTTTGCAAGCTGTTCTTTCTTTACTTTCAGAATTCATATCACTGTCAAAAGAAAAATTCTAATAAACAAAAAAACTTTTCTAATAAGCAACTGTTTCAAAAAACCTTTTAAAAATGCCTAAATATTAAAATACATACCTATGAATAATCACTTTGTTAATGTAAACTATTTGACTGAAACTTCTTCAAGATATTTAGTCAACAACTAACAGAGAAATACATAGAACCATTCTCTTTTTCATATAAACTTTGTATTCCTTGATGATTGTATACTGGTCTCTCTAAAATGAAACTCTTTTGTTGCATTTGTAAATGAGATAAACAATATTTGTCCAGGTCCCCATTACCTGGAAATGACTATTCCATAAATTACATTTCTAGCTTACTAAGTATAGTGGCTTGAAAAAGTTAACATACTTCTCAATCACATGATGTGCTACTCAAAAGAACACCTCGCTCATCTTTATAGAATCTGAAAAATATCCAGAAATTACTCTGTGCTATGTTTATATGCAGTCAATATCATATTTTATTTCTTCTAAATGTCAAAGAACCAAGTATATACTAGGGCAAATAATAAATTGAAAAAGGAAGACGATAACTCTATAGAGAGAATAAAATGTGGAGAGAAAAGTCTGACTATGCCAATAGAAAAAAGTTTCAAAGAATATTCTGGGAATATAAGACATTTGCAAATATAATTAAGAATATACTATCATAAAAAACCTTCAAAATCGATAATAGTTAACTCCTACTAGATCATAACAACTCCCAATCCTTAAATATTTCCCCAATATCCTTTTCCCTAATAACCTGCATTTACAGATTAGTATTCCATTTCTTTTTTTTTTTAAGTAGGAGAGTTTTATTGAGAAAGTATTCCATTTCTAAGGCAATACTTCTAAGAGTATTTTTGTATTATTTTTGTCCCTGTTCAACTTGATTGTCAATTAACTGTCAGCTAATAAGGTAATTCAAATATATGATGAAAACAGTATTCCATTTGAATACTGTTTGATTCTAAGAGTTTCTGGGAAAAAATTGGGTCGGAATTTGAAGTGGAAAGTTATTTAATTTTTAGAAGAGGATCACACAACTCATTGCCCTCAGCAGGCTTATTAAAAGGACTATCTATTCATATCATGCATCCAATTTGTAGATAAAATATATCATTTTACTTTTTTACTCCCTTTATGGATTAAACATAAAAGTATCAGAGTTGGCATATAGTCCAAATGAGCTAAAATAATATACTGACATGTTTTAAGTTGTTAAGTTTACATGGGACATTTATAGAATCATACCCTATGTATGATTAAAATAATATAGTAGATTTAAAGTCATATATTCTCAGAATCCCATCTAATTACTTTATGCTCATGCCTGATATTTTGGGAATTTATGTAGTTAAAAATATCAGTACTCTATTTCAAAATAATGTTTCTTTGAATCACAAATTTAAAAGTCGAGTTTGACATTAAAATGTGTTAAAGAATATCATGCTTATTGCTTCATCATGTGGTGAAAAGTTCATCTGAGGAGTTCATTATATATTTTAGAGAAATAACATACTAAAAGGACCACTAGGAATAAAAACACAAATCTCAGTGTCCTCAAACTGGTACAAAAATGCTATACAAATATGGTTGTCTGGCATTTGTAAGCAATAACTTTAAAAGTCAGCTTTTATATGAGCAATACATAATAAAAATTCTTAAAATATTTATTTCAGTGAAAAAATGCAAGGAAGCTCTAAAATGGTGGTACCTAAAGTTTATGGAGTAGGTCTATATTTTGCCGGAGTTGAGATCCATTAGGCATTATTAAATTGGATTACATTTGAGGCTTTGGCAGGCATGTGAAATTCTGAAATACTACAACCACCAAAAAGAAAACTTGCTGAATATTTACAAGAAGAAAAATTCCCTCTCCAAACTACCCAACCACCTGGCAGAGTACAGCTTTCTTCCCTGCAATTATAAATTATTTGCATAGGCATTTCCAGGAGCATTCACAGCAAACATATTATACACAAATATAATCAAACTATAATATAAATCAAATTAACCATATAATCTTACAGAATAATTTTCTGGATTTAAAAAATATGAGAGGAGGAGAACTCAGCCTCAATTTTCTGAAGCTTAACTTTATTTTCAATTCAAATAATTCCCCAAACTGTTATTAAGGGCTGTAAAAGGTGATATTTTTCTAATTAATCCAAATTCACAATAAAATTGTTAAACATTATCTGTTTAATAATGTGCCGCTGCAGTTCAGTTTGCTACAGTTAAATAAATACTTGTTAGAAAATCTGCAATGTTAATGCCAATCCTGAATTCTATGATTAGAGAGCCAGCCTGAGGAAAAAGCAAATAACCACAAATTACTAAAAGAATTCACAAATAAATAATAGTGTGCTTTATTCATATGAACCTAGTTTGAGGCATGATTTTGGTGAGGCCTGTAAATGCTAACTTATAAGATCAACATATAAAAGACAAATTTTTAATTGTATTTTATTACTTATATTTCTGCCTGTAGGTAAATAAAATGACCAAAAGAGGGTGCCAATCTGCCACTTTGTTGCTCAAATATCTGTGTTAAAATTGACTGAGTAAATACAGATTATCCTACTTATTGTTACATAAGGGAATTTAAAATTAACAAGTTATAATGAGAAATAGCACAATGATAAAAGTATTTTACATTTTCATAATTTAATACTTAAAGAATTCTAAATGGTATTCTATTATTTGAAAAGAGGTCATAAAATCCTTCACTTTTTATACAAGTAAGTGAAAACAGAAAACAGAAATCTTAGCATGGAATTTTAACCTTTCTTAAAACCATGTGGTATAAATTAATAGCTTCAGAAATATCTTAAATTCTACTCCAAATGTGATATGTTTTAAAACAATAATGTTTGCAAATGCATGTTTCATTATAGAACTACTAACATAATTTTTAACTTCCAATCTACACTTTTTAATTTATAGTACAAAAGCAATAAACTAGGAAACTGAAGTATAAAAACCAAGTACAGTCATCTCATAAAACTTGCAAGATTATTTTAGCATTATTCAAAACATCACAATTATGTTGAACGGCACACATAATTAAGTCCTATAAATGACTCTAATTAGCATTTTTTTAAAGATAGACACAATATCTTTATTTATTTATTTTTATATGGTGCTGAGGATCAAACCCAGTGCCTCACATGTGCGAGGCAAGCGCTCTAATGCTGAGCTATCCCCAGCCCCTAATTAGCATTATTTTTACAAAGCCAAATAAAGCATTTCAGAATTTAAGTCAACAAGAGATGGATTGGGTGGGGTAGGGGAGATAGATGGATAGATGATATTGCTAAAATGTAAGATCTGTGAGTATAGGGGGATTTTTCGGTCCATCTATTTTGTTTTTTGCTGTGTAACAAAATATCTGTTCTACAGCTCAGTGCTTTCTATGGCACTAGTGAATGAGTACTACTGTTGAATAAACTGAAATAAGGATATGGTCATTTTGATGGAACAAGCAGTAGGATCTGGACTCAAGCCTTAGGTTTGGATTTCAGGCATTAATTACTGGTTATGTTCACAAGTTGCTGTTAACCTCTTAACTTTATTAGCCTTATTTATAAAATGGGGAAAATATCTAGCTTGCAGAGCTACTCCACGACTTCATATTTTAAATGTATCATATGTCTTTCTTTAAAATATTACACAAATAAAAGAATTACCGGGATTTTTGGCCCAAGTCTTTATCTTTGGGCTGACACAGAAGAGGCACTAGATCATTTGCCAAAGTGATCAGAGTTTGACTTGCCAGTTCTTGTAAAATAGTGGTGGCCATCAAAATCTGATTCTCTTTACTCATTCTACAAAAGCCTTCAGATAAATAAGGAAAACAAAATCACCTATAGTTTATACTGAGGATATAACTAAAAAACAGAGACTACTATCAAGCATCAATTTATACATAATGGGGAAACTACCATCTGAAACAATCAAAGCAAGCTCATGGAGGCCTTACCTATGGAAAGAGTTAGGTGACTACTCTCTCTCTCTTTTTTTTTTTTATTGGTTGTTCAAAACATTACAAAGCTCATGACATATCATCTTTCATACATTTGACTCAATTGGGTTATGAACTCCCATTTTTACCCCAAATACAAATTGCAGAATCACATCGGTTACACACTCACATTTTTACATAATGGCATATTAGTGACTGTTGTATTCTGCTACCTTTCCTTTCCCCTACTATCCCCCCTCCCCTCCCCTCCCATCATCCCTCTCTACTTCATCTGCTGTTGTTCAATTCTCTCCCTTGTTCCCCCCCCCCCTTTCCCCTCACATCCTCTTCTATGTAATTTTGTGTAACATTGAGGGTCTCCTACCATTTCCATATGCTTTCCCTTCTCTCTCCCTTTCTCTCCCCCCACTCGTCTTTGTTTAATGTTAATCTTTTCCTCATGCTCTTCCTTCCTGTTCTGTTCTTAGTTGCTCTCTTTATATCAAAAAGACATTTGGCATTTGTTTTTTAAGGATTGGCTAGCTTCGCTTAGCATAATCTGCTCTAATGCCATCCATTTCCCTGCAAATTCTATGATTTTGTCATTTTTTTATTGCTGCGTAGTACTCCATTGTGTATAGATGCCACATTTTTTTTATCCATTCATCTATTGAAGGGCATCTAGGTTGGTTCCACAGTCTAGCTATTGTGAATTGTGCCGCTATGATCATTGATGTGGCAGTATCCCTATAGTACGCTCTTTTAAGATCCTCAGGGAATAGTCCGAGGAGGGCGATAGCTGGGTCAAATGGTGGATCCATTCCCAGCTTTCCCAGGTATCTCCATACTGCTTTCCAGATTGGCCTTACCAATTTGCAGTCCCACCAGCAGTGTACAAGTGTACCCTTTTCCCCACATCCTCGCCAACACTTATTGTTGTTTGACTTCAGAATGGCTGCCAATCTTACTGGAGTGAGATGGTATCTTAGGGTGGTTTTGATTTGCATTTCTCTGACTGCTAGAGA